ATGGAGCTCACCTTTGAAAGGGGCTCACCTGTGGACAGAGATCACCTGGGGATGGGGCTCACCTGTGGACGGGGCTCACCTGGGGACAGGACTCACCTGGGGACGGGGCTCACCTGGGGACAGGGCTCACCTGTGGACAGAGTTCACCTATGGACAGGGCTCACCTGAGGACGGGGCTCACCTGGGGACGGGACTCACCTTTGAAAGGGGCTCACCTGTAGACAGAGATCACCTGTGGACAGGGCTCACCTGGGGACGGGGCTCACCTGGGGACAGGACTCACCTTTGAAAGGGGCTCACCTGTGGACAGAGATCACCTGTGGACGGGGCTCACCTGGGGATTGTCAGTGAGTTGTGTGGGCCCCTCGAGGATTTCTGACTTACTCCCCAGTGCGAGCTGGCTCACACTCGATTACACGCACAGGCACCGGCTATTTAAAGCCTTCTCTAATCTGGTCTTTAGAAGATCAGTTTCTCTGTCCCTCTAAACCTATTGTAGTAAACTGGGCCATCTCCGGTCACAGCCAGCGTCTTCCAGCTCCAAGGCTGTTCTGGAACGTTCTTCCTGGGAAGGCCCGCTGCGTTCAGGAAGCTATGCGTGGCCCAGTGGGGTTGGTCTCTGTGTCTGTCTGTCTGTGCCCAACAGCCTGCTGAGGGGAACATGATGTTCAAAATGAGAGTCCTTTGCTGATGCCTTAGACCCTCATGCATTGACGTGTGTGTATGTGCGTGTGCTGTCCACATGTGCATGTCCACATTCATGGAAGTGTGTATACACACGCGTGTGAGCTTCTGTATGTGCTTGTGTGTGTGTGTGTGTGTGTGTGTGTGTGCGCGCGCGCGCGCGCGCCCATAGGGTCACTTTGAGTCGTTGTCTATTCAGTGACACCGAACGTGTGTGTGTGTGTGTGTGTGTGTGTGTGTGTGTGTGTGTGTGTTCATATAAACATGGTGAGCATGGCGCCTACATGATTCTGCCAAGGGGCTGTTTGATTTTTGAGACCTGAGTGTGTGTATGTGTCATTTTCAGCGATGAGCTTAAAACCTGACGTGTGCTTTGTCGAAGGGAGCTCCCTCGGTCCCTGAGCCCACGCGTGTAGGTTAGGTCAGTAGAAGCGTTGAACTGGAGAGCCCGATGACGTGTGGAGATGAGATTCGACAGATGGGGGAGGATGTGGGTTTTGGAAGGGGAGTTTTGCCCTGAAGAGATTGTATGTCCTAAGTGTTAGGAAATTGGCGGGCTGTGGTTAAAATTGTTTCTCTTTAGTTGATGTGCTGGGTGCTTTAATCATTTACATAGTTAAAAGTTTTTGTTTTCAAAACATTTTTTTGGTTTCTAAAACTAAAAACAAACCCACAAAAATGTATGAATTGCCACATTCTTTCTCATTATTAAGGTCTGGCTTTACCGTATTCCATTTTCCATCACACATGAGACCAGACCGTTCTCCGTGCTTAGTGTTTAAACGACACATTGGCTCGAGCCGCCCTATAGTTGTATCTGTGGTAAATATTCCACTTGATCAACACCAGGGTCTCTGCCCTTCCCTCTCCTCCAATTTGGGAGGAATTTTGGGGGTGGGTTTTTCCCCCCATGTACACCACAATGTCTTGATTACACCCTCATGTAAAAACAAACTCTCCTGATCTAAATGGTTGTGCTGATTTGGATGCCAAATGAGTTGTTTCTGATGAGTGAGTGTGAATTCTGAGGGTGCGTGAGAGCAAGAAGGTGAAACGTGAAGACCGGCGAGAAGTCCGTCCCAGCCAGGATGAGCCCATTGTCCCTGGATGTCCTTCTCATGACAGGGTGTGGTGCAGCTGGCAGCGGCACAGGGACACCGCTGCCCTCGTCCCCGGAGCACAGGTTCACCATGGGGTAGAGGAGCATGCTTGTCCCTCTTTGGAGGCAGCCCACATCCGCTCCCGCCCAGGGCTGCCACTTCTCTGACCGTGGTCAGCAGACGCCGGCCGCCACTGCTTTTGTTGCTGGTTACTGTTTGGTCAGCTCTGACTCACGGTGGGTGACCGTGGATGACAGGACACAGTGTTGCCTGGTCCACTGCGTGCTCAGGTCCAGAGTTCCAGGCACTGCTTGCTTTGAGAGCCTTCCGACGAGGAGGCCAGTGGTGTCACTAAGGCATTCTGCTGCTGACTGAAAGTTTGGTGGTTTGAACCCCTTAAGCTGCTCCTTTGGGGACAGACGAGGCAGTGTACCCCTTAATGAGGGCAGTCTTGGAAACCCCACAAGGCCAGGCCCTGTGCCAGAGGGTCACTGTGGGTCAGCGCCAACAGTGGGCATTGGGCTGGGTTTCCAGCCTTCAGGAGTTCATCTTCTGTGCTGTCTCAGATGGTCTTTGTTTTGCTCCATGGAGGATGTCCACTGGTTGGATCTGGCCATCATTTGCCACGCCTTTCTTCCTAGTCTTAGCCTGGAAGCTTCGCCGAAACCTGTGCACCGTGGGTGACTCTGCTGGTACTGGAAATACGGTGGCACTGTTTCCAGCATCACAGCCGCAGGGAAGCTGTCTGGCCTGACAGGCTACGAGGAGGGGTGGTCTAGTCCACGTCTGCATCATGCATTTCTGGGCTCGTGTGTCCCCAAGGTCCATGTCCATACCTGTGCTCCTAGGTTCATGTGCTCCTAGGCTCTCGTGTCCAAGGTCTGTGTCCACACCGTATACTCCTGGGCTTTCATGTACAAGGTCCACGTCCACACCATGTGCTCCAGGGCTCTCGTGTCTGAGGTCCACGTCCACACCGTGTGCTCCAGGGCTCTTGTGTCCAACGTCCACGTCCACACCGTGCGCTCCATGGCTTTCGTGTCTGAGGTCCACGTCCACACCATGCGCTCCAGGGCTCTTGTGTCCGAGGTCCACGTCCACACCATGTGCTCCATGGCTCTCGTGTCCGAGGTCCATGTCCACACTGTGTGCTCTATGACTCTCGTGTCCGAGGTCCACATCCACACCCTGCACTCCAGGGCTCTCGTGTCCGAGGTCCACGTCCACACTGTGCGCTCCAGGGCTCTCGTGTCCAAGGTCCACGTCCACACTGTGTGCTCTATGACTCTCGTGTCCGAGGTCCACATCCACACCCTGCACTCCAGGACTCTCGTGTCCAAGGTCCACATCCACACTGTGCACTCCAGGGCTCTCGTGTCCGAGGTCCACATCCACAATGTGTGCTCCATGTCTCTCGTGTCTGACGTCCACGTCCACACCCTGCACTCCAGGGCTCTCGTGTCCGAGGTCCACGTCCACACCTCCTCACACCCACTGATGCGCTGTGGCCTGCGTCTTGTTTCCGCAGGGACTACATGTCGGGCCAGACGAAGAACGTCGTGAGCGGCGTGCTGTTCGGCACGGGCCTGTGGGTGGCCCTCATCATCACCATGCGCTACTCCCTCAAGGTGCTGCTGTCCTACCACGGCTGGATGTTCGACCCTCACGGCAAGATGAGCCGCACCACCAGAATCTGGATGGTAAGGCCGCGCCCGGGCCGGGAAGCTCTCGGCTGCTCACCAAAGCTCAGTGGTGCGAACCCCCCGACTGCTGTCGGAGAAGCACCTGGGAGTCTGTTCCCGACGGCCTTGGACAGAAACCCTGGTCCGTAGGGTCCCCTGCAGGGGTCCCTCGGGGAGCCCTGGGCGTGCAGAGCCTGGGTCTTCCTCAGGAGGAAGGTGAAGCCGTCTGCACCCTGAGAGGTGACAGCTTGTCACCTCGGGATCCACAGGGCTGTTCTCCACCTGAAAGGCTGGCTCGGGGACCCACACCCCAACATCAGGCTTCCCTGATGCAAACACATCTCCTGTGATTCTTGCCCAGAAGCATTCTGACTCCCAGAGAAACACAGCAGCATGACGAGAAGGCACCCAGACGTGGCCTGCACCCCACACGCCACTGCCACCCTGCTGGTGCCGCCCTGTTGGTGCTACCGTGACGGTGCCGCCCTGACGTGGGCTGAGCTCACTGTCGCTCACCTCTCAGGTCCGAGTGGCCCTGCTGCTCTGTCCGCTGCTCCCCAGTGTGAGCTCCGGAACTTTCTTTGCAGAACGAAGACAGGCACGTGTGTCATCTGGGCAAGGTGTGACAGCTTGAAGGGACAGTGTGGCCTCCTGCGGGATGCACAAGGCCCCAGCTCCTCAGCTCTGGCCCCACACATGGGCCTCAAGCCAGTCCCTGAAACCAAGGCCTCACAGACAGAACCAGAACCGAACCCATGAAACCAAGGCCTCACAGACAGAACCAGAACCGAACCCATGAAACCAAGGCCTCACAGACAGAACCAGAACCAAACCCGCGAGACGAGGGCTCACAGACAGAACCAGAACCAAACCCACGAGACAAGGGCTCACAGACAGAACCAGAACCAAACCCACGAGATGAGGGCTCACAGACAGAACCAGAACCAAACCCATGGAGGAGATTACTTATTCTTCCCCACAGAGCAGCTGGTGGATTCAAACCACATGCCTTCGGGATGGCAGCACAGCTCCTTGCCACTAGGCTACCAGGGCTCTCTGCAGAGTAACTGACTGCTGATTTTCTTATTAGTAGCCGACTGCTTAAACATGGCACCACAGCTGCCGGAGGAGGCAGCCCTGTGACCTGGGCAAGCTCCGGCTGGACGCAGGCATCATTTGTATGGGGTGCCCTGGGATTTGCTGGGACCTGTGGACATAGAGGCAGAAATGGATGGGGGAGAGGGGGAGAAATGGCTCCTGAAACCCGTCAGCGGTGTCGAGAACTGGCCTCCCACGTATATCGTCATCTCAGGTTGTCATGGACCATTGATTGAGAACCCACCCACAGCTGGCCCTCCGGTGGGTTTTCAGAGGCAGTAAATCGCACAGGAGGAGATTGCCCGTCCTTCTCCCACAGAGAAGCTGGTGGATTTGAACCACATGCCTTCAGGTTGGCAGCACAGGTCCTTACCCCTAGGCCACCAGGGCTCCCTGTCATCTCAGGAAAACCCCCAAATCCGCTGCCATCTCACGAGGTCAGTACCCACCATCGGCCTTCTGAGGCCGTGGGTCTTTATGGGAGGAGATGGACCACCTTCTCCCATGAGGTGTCTGGTGGGTTTGAACCACTGAACTTTCGATTGGCTGCCCAGCACGTGACTCCCGCAGCAACGGGGTTCCTCCCGTGATACGGGCTCATTTGTGCCTCTTCTCGTAGGGGATGGTGAAGGTGTTTTCCGGCCGGAAGCCCATGCTGTACAGCTTCCAGACCTCGCTGCCTCGCCTGCCCGTCCCTGCGGTCAAGGACACCGTGAACAGGGTGAGTACCCACTGCGCCAGGGTCTCTGCCAGGACAGTGAACGCTCACCCTGTGAGCTGTGCTTGTTACTCCCTGTGGTTCTGTGTGGGCATCGTGAGGTGTCCATTTATAAAGAACAAGGGCCACATGGGGAACGCCATCTCTGACCTTTACTGACTTCACAGGGAGGAACCGTCCCTGTCAATAACACAAAGCCAGTCCCCATGAGTCAGACACGACTCCATCCTCCCATGCCTCCTTCTCCTCGTCTCCACACCAGTCCCATGACTTTGCTGGGTCCAAAATCTGATGTGACAGCTCACAGACCACACAGAACCATAATGGGAAAGTCCAAAGGTTCTAATCCAGGTTAATAACCAAATACAGGCAAGACAGCTTCCACAGTGTTCATGCAGGCACCTCAGCCCTGAGCCTCCTGGCTCTGAGTGTGTCCCAGGCTCCCCGTCCTGTCAATATTGGCTTCCCCGCTTGTCCCCCAAACTCCCATCTCCTGTCATTTGTCCAGCTCAGCCATGGCTGCTGCTGTCCTGAGCGTGTCCTGACCCCTCTTCACCTGGGCAGGGAAGGTCTCTTCCTTCTTCTCTGGCTGGAGAGGATTCTGGTTCTGGCTGGAGCTGTTCAGTTTGTTGGTGAGACTAGCCAGTCGTCTTGTAGATTGTTGAGACTGGCCAATCTTGTGGGATGGTAGATAGCCAGTCCCCTTGTGGACAGGCCAACCTGCTCCATTCTCCTATTCACAGTCATCCATGCTGGAAAACCCATTTTGAAAGATAAACTCCACACCAGTCACACACCTGTCACGGCTGCCCATCGAGCACTCCTCATCACCCCCTCCCCCTTGGGAGAAGCCCTGTGCAGTCACCCCCTTCCTCTCCTCCAGCTCTGGGAAAACTCTGATCCACTTCTTGTCTGTGGACTTGACTTCCAGACTCTACTGAGCTGGTGTTGGCCCCTTTCATGGCAGCCTGCAGGGCCCCAAACGCACGCGGCTTCCATTGGAGAACTTGGCTGGGCTGTTCCTACATTCCCAGCTTGTACTTTACGTTTTGTGTGTGTTTATTTAAGTTCACTCCTTTTTCCATATTTGTATTTTTAATTGATATTTTTATCATTCATATACATTGTGTTTCATGCATGTACATCGTCTAATGCAGTCCTTCCTGTACGTTGTATTCATGTGGATTGGGGGGTTTATGTTCCCTTTACAATCATCTTACTAAGAGCTGCTTTCATGAAAGCAGGTAAACCAGCTACTTCATGCCTCGGACCCAAATGTGCCCCTTTTAGAGATCCCACTTCTCATTGTCCGTCCCTGTCAAGCCAGTACCCTGAGGGAACAAGTGTGACCCTTTTGCTGGGGAATCGTGTGTTCAATTTGGAAGCCAGTTTTATTTTTCTGTAAGTGCGTGCAGACCTCTTTGATCCCAGACTACCACGACCTAGGGAGTGTAAACACCAAGCAAGCCTCTGGGAAGTTTGTATTTCCTAACGCCCAGGAAAGATATACTGAGTCTGTGAAGCAGGCAGTTGTTGTTCTTGTTAGATGCCATCAAATTGAGTGTGCGTCCTAGTGACCCGTGAACAGCAGACCTGGGTTCTGTCCCGTCCTGTGCCGTCCTCACCGTCTCTGACACACTTGAGCCCAATGCGTCATGCAAGTGTTTGAAATGTTGTGGGATTGGCCAGAATGGGGCAGAGACACAAAGTGAGCATGGGCGGGTGGAGAAATGGGGTGGGTGGGCTTGCTCTGGCCAGGTCTGGTCCAGACCTTCAGTTTGTAAAAGAGCAGAGTCTCTGGGCAGGGTGATAAAGCAGGGCTCAGTGAGACCGTGTCTCCTGCTGGTGAACATTGTTGTTATGTGTGTCGAGTCACCTGTGACTCATAGCGACCCTGTGTACAGCAGCCCTAAACTCTGCTCTGTCCTGTGCCAGTCACACCGTCTCTGACACTCCCATCCCGATTACCCTAATGACTGAATCAGTCCACCTCATAGGGGGTCTTCCTCTCCTGCGCTGTCCCTCCACCCTCCCAAGTGTGCCGTTCCTCTCCAAGGACTGGTCCCTCCTTGCAACTTGTCCAAAGTATGTCAGACGAAGCTTCAGAATCCTTGCTTCCAAGGAACAGCTTGGTTTAACCCTCTCCAGGACAAACCTGTTTGTTCTCTTAGCAGTACATGGTATATTCAATACTCTTCTCCAGCATCACAGCTCAGAGGCATCATTTCTCCTTCTATCATCCCTAGTCATTGTCCAGAATTTTGATACATAACAAGTGATTGCAAAGACCATGGCCTAGATCAAGTGCACCTTAATCTCCAGACTGATATCTTTGCTCTTCTGTACTTTGGAGAGGTCCCTAACAGCAGACTTTCCCATTGCAATATGTCTTTTAATTTTCTGGCTGCTGGTGCCAAGAGTGTTGAGTAAAGTGAGAGTTAAGAAGGAGAAAATATTTCATCTTAGTTTAAACCATCGCACCCAGGTGTTGGGCCCAAGGACCCCCAGAACCACGTGGAGCGGACACTGCTGCCTTCTCTGTGGCCCAGGCAGGGGCTGGCATGGCTCTGGTGGCAGTGGGCTCACCTTGTTTTCCCTCCCTGTCGCCCCAGTACCTGGAGTCAGTGAAGCCCCTGATGAAGGAGGATGACTTCAGGCGCATGACCGAGCTGGCCCAGGATTTCGCTGTCACTCTGGGGCCAAAATTGCAGTGGTACTTGAAGCTCAAATCCTGGTGGGCAACGAACTACGTGAGTATACACACCCACTCTTTCTTTTTCTTTTTCTTTTTTTGGGGGGTGGGCAATTTAAAAAAAATTATTATTCATTTCAATGAAAATTTACTGAGACTTTGGGTTTCCATTCATTCACTATTGCACTTTTCTCCTCTTCCAACCCTCCCCCCTAGTACACTACCCTCTTGGAAAAGTAAAAGAAAAATTCTTTCATTGTTTTACAATCCCTCCCCCCAGGTCCACTCCACTATGCAGCCTTCGTTCTGGACTCATGTCATGACAATAATACCTAATCACATAGCCTTTTTAAACAGTTCTCATCTGTTTCAATGCAGTATACATAATATATCCCATCTTTCTCAGTCTCCACCCAGACCCCTATCCTGTTTTACAACAGTGGCACTATGCAGTATTTGTCCTTTTGTTACTGAGATATTTCACTCAGCATAATGTCCTCCAGGGTCACCCATTTTGTATAATATTTCATGAGTTGTTTGTCAATGAAGTATAGTATTCCATTGTGTGAATATACCACAGCTTCTCTATCCATTCGTTTGTTAATGGGCACTTAGGTTGTTTCCAACTCCTTGCTATTGTGAACAAAGCCGTGATAAACATGAGTGTGCATTCTTTCTTTATCTTTATGCTTGGTGTCTTAGGCTGGGTTCTCTAAGGGAAAAAAAAATCCAAAATACACACACACACACACAGAGTTTGAGAGAAATTTATTTGCAAGCAGCTTTGCAGAATGCTGGTTTGGGAGGCTGGTGGCCACCACCCGGTGCACAAGGAATGTAGCCAAAAAGTGCAAATCTTTCCATGCTGGACTCTTCTTTAATCAGCTTTAAAATGGAAGTGGTCTTCCCTGAGTGAATACCCCCAGGCCTCCCGTTTCTTGCGCCCCCACCCATCCCACTGTGCTAACCGCCTTCTGGAAGGACCTACAGAACCAATCTTCTCCCACTTGACCCTGCCAGGGGCCCAGGACCTCTTGCCATTGGCTTTGTTTGTGCTGTGCATCTGTGACGTAAGAGGCCGTGTGACAGAATGTTCCACAGGGGACTCTCTGCTGTGGAGCTGATTGCTGTAATTGTTCTGTGTCACCGAATCACCTGTGACTCATAGTGACCCTGTGTACAGCAGCTCTGAAGCCTGCCCTGTCCTGAGCCAGTCTCACCGACTGCCATTGCCCCAGTTACTGTGTCAATCCATCTCATCCAGGGTCTTCCTCTCCTGCGTCCCTCCTGACCACATGCCCAGAGTATGTGAGACAGAGCTTCAAAATCCTAACCTCCAAGGAGAAGGTCGGTTTCAACCTCTCTAAGACAGGCATAATTTGTTCTCCTTGGCAGTCCATGGTATGTTCAAAACTCTTCCCCAGCACCACAACTCAAAGGCATCAATTCTTCTGTCATCCTTAGTCATTGTCCAGCTCTCTGATGCACAGCAAGTATTGTAAAGACCATGGCCTGAATCAGGTGCACCTTAGTCTCTAAAGTAATGTTGTTGCTTCTCACTACTCTAGTGAGGTCCCTGACAGCAGATTTCTCCAGTGCAGTTTGTCTTTTGATTTCCTGACAGCTGGTCCCAAGAGTGTTCATGGTGCTGCCAAATGGCCCAGTGGTGAGAATCTTTTTCTTGATGTTGAGCTTCAGTCCATATAGGAGGCTGCAGTCTTTAACCTTCTGCAGCAAGCGCTTCAGGTCCTCTTCAGTTTCAGCAAGCAGAGTTGTGTCATCTGCATAATGCAGATTGTTGATGAGTCTTCCTCCAATCCTGATGCCACATTCCTCCTCCTAAAGTCGCTTGCCAGCCTATCTTCCTTGGCACCTCAGGCCATCTGGTGGAAGCCCCGTGTGGCTCTCCCCACACGGCCACGCCCCTCCCAGCCTGTGCTGTCTGTGCCCCCAGGTCAGTGACTGGTGGGAGGAGTACATCTACCTCCGAGGACGGGGACCCCTGATGGTCAACAGCAACTACTACGCCATGGTGAGTGAGTGGCTGGGGGGCTCCGTCTGCTGCCTGCCCCTGGAATGAGCAGGTCTTCATCTCCTCCCTGACAGGCAGCCCCCTCCATAATGGGGGTTCGTGCAGACACAGGGCTATCACCCACCCTTGGGCCTTCTCCCAGTCCCTGAAGCCCCACTAGTGACCTCCACAGCAACTCTGCCCAGTTCTGAGTGGATGCCCTAGTTGTTAGGTCTCTGACCTCCCTGGGCTGTGATGTCCCTCAGCCTCCCCGGACTGGCGACGTTAGGAGACGATGTGACCTTCCACTGCGTGCATCTCTGATTCTTTGCCCCTGGGGTGCCCTTAGGATTAGATTCGGGGGCATAGTGTTTGCAGGAGGATTCTGGAAGTAACAGTGTGTGATGCTGTGTGACAGTGTCCATCTGTGCCACGTGGGGTGTCGTCAGCGTGCGGGAAGGTGGCCTCTGCCAGGGCCTTGGCCTCACTTGTCTGTTCCTGTGTGATCGGGATGTCCTCTGGGTGTGTCCATTTCCCGTCCTCATCCGTAGCGTGTCCTCTGGTTCTGCGATGCTCTTTTTCCTCTTAACACTAGCCTGCCGCCCTCTCTGACCTCGTGGTTTCTGTTTCAAGGACTTACTGTATGTGGTGCCCACGCACATCCAGGCGGCCAGAGCGGGCAACGCCATCCACTCCATCCTGCTCTACAGACGCAAGCTGGACCGGGAGGAGATCAAGCCCGTAAGTAGCACCTAATGCATCGGGCTGCTAACTGAAAGATCAGTGGTTCAAATCCACCAGCTGCCCCTGGAGAGAAAGGTGAGCAGTCTTGTTCCATAAAAGGCTTAATAGGCTGAGAAGTCGAAGGAGGGTCACTGGGAGTCAAGACTGGCTCCACGGCCGGGGTCAGTCGTATACAGAAGCCACGTTTACACTGTCTGGTGTGTCGAGGGTGGAATATTGTGACAATGACGGTGAACAAACATGGCAGAGACGTGAAGTGAGCACGTTGCCAAGAGGCTTGCTGGACGCACGGTTGCCACAGACCTTTGGTTTGTAAAAACACGGTTTCTGTGAAGCTCTGTAAAACAAGGGTGTTTCTGTTCCCATAGTCAGGTCACAGGGACAGGGAGTCCCCATCTCCCTGGGGGAGGAAATCAGCTGTCAGGAGACATTTGTAAAAACAGCCTTGTTGTGACACTTTTGAGGTTCCTCATACGTCTGCAGTGGGTGGTGTATAAGCCGTGGACCCCGCCGCATACACACTCCCTGGATACACGTACCCGCAAAACTTCCATCTCAGTAAGAGATCAGCCATCTCCGTCACCCCCCCGGCCCCCCAGGCCTTCCTGACCTCTTCCTGCCCCCTCCCTCTGGTGCCCTGAAGTCTCTGCGTCGTGGACCAGGGTGACCGGGCTGTGTGCAGAGCCACCCGAGTCCAGCGTGCAGTGTCACTTTCTGCCGGCTTTCTTTCCTGTGCACGTTTTTCTCACCTGGAATGTTTTCCTGTGTAGATTCTGCTCCTGGGCTCCACCATCCCACTCTGCTCTGCGCAGTGGGAGCGAATGTTCAACACGTCCCGGATCCCAGGCGAGGAGACAGGTGAGTGAGGCCTGACTGGGCCCGTTCACGCCCTCTGTCCCTGCACTCAGGACAAGGACACAGAGGACAGCGGGACACACTCCTGCATGCAGCCCAGCTCAACTCCTCTTCACTGAGCCCAGACCAGACCCAGGCCCTCTGCCTCCAGTCCATCCGACCCTCAAGGACCGCAGGGGTCAGGGTAGACCCACCCAGAGGTTCTGAGTCATCTTCCCAGCAGCGCACTGCCCCAGTTTTCCCTCATGGAGCTGCTGGTGGGCTTGAACCATTGGCCTCTGAGTGCTTAACCACTGCTCTGGCAGGGCTCCTGTGTGGGCCCTAAACCCTGTGCCAACCAGCCCGTCCCGGGACTCACAGTGACCCTGTACGAGAGAGCAGGACTATCCCAGGGTTTCCAGAGCCCGAAATCCTCACAGGAGAGTCCTCTCTTCCTTTTGAGAGGCTGGTGGTGGCTTTGAACTGCCGACCTCTCAGTTAGTGACCGAGCACTTTAACCCCTATGCTGCTAGGGCTCCTGTAAAGTGACGGGAGCGATGTGCCGCTTATGGGCTGTGATTTTCAATCAGGAGCCCTGGTGAGGTGGTGCATGAGTGTTGGACTGCTAACTGAAAACTCAGCAGTTCCAGTCCCCACCTGCCCCATGGGAGATGGGCAGTCTCTCCCCTCAGAGTCCCACAGCATCAGAAGCCAGTGTAGGGTGTCCTTGGGGGTGGAGGGTGCTCTTGTTGGTGTAGGGAGCCCTCAAGGGTGCAGGGTGCCCTCGTGGTTGCAGGATGCCCTTATTGGTGGAGGAGGGCACCCTCAGGGGTGAGGGTGTCCCTGGGGAGTGGAGGGAGCCCTCAGGGGTGCAGAATGCCCTTGTTGGTGGAGGAGGGAGCCCTCAGGGGTGCAGAATGCCCTTGTTGGTGGAGGAGGGAGCCCTCAGGGGTGTGGGGTGCCCTTGGTGGGTGGAGGGCACCCTCAGGGGTGCAGGGTGCCCTTATTGGTGGAGGAGGGCACCCTCAGGGGTGAGGGTGTCCTTGGGGAGTGGAGGGAGCCCTCAGGGGTGCGGGGTACCCTCGTGGGTGGAGGGCATCCTCGGGGAGTGGAGGGAGCCCTTGGGTGTAGGGTGCCCTCGTGGGTGGCGGTTGCCCTCGGCAGCAGGGTCCTGGTCTGGGTCTGGGAGTTGCCATCATTCACCGTGCCCTGGCTTTGTGTCCTGTGGCCGCAGACACCATCCAGCACGTCAGGGACAGCAGGCACATCGTGGTGTACCACAGAGGCCGCTACTTCAAGGTCTGGCTGTACCACGACGGCCGGCTGCTGAAGCCCCGGGAGATCGAGCAGCAGGTGCAGCGGATCCTGGATGACCCGTCCGAGCCCCAGGACGGGGAGGCCAAGCTGGCTGCGCTCACTGCCGGGGACAGGTGGGCACCCCCCGCCCGGGCACGGACCTCCTCACGCGGGCATCCAGGGCGGTGAGGGAGGAGCGGGCGGGGCAGCAGTTAAGGCTCTCGGCTGTGAAAGGTCAGCGGTTCGCACCCACCAGCCACTCGATGGGAGAAGGATTGTCGACCAACGTCTGTAAGGGCTGATGGCCGCAGAGACCTCCCCGCAGCTCTGCACTGTCCTGGGGGGCTCACCGCAAGTCCAGGTCAACCAGACACAGGGTTGTGGGGGAGGCACAGATGTTGTACACTCAGCTGTCAGCTGAGGGGGGTGGAGGTGGGCGGGGTGGTTCCAGCCTATAGGGTAACAGGTGACAGGAGGAGCTTAAAGGCCTGGTGTTAACCCCACAGAGACAGAAAGGAAGGCCGACAGGCTGCTCTGCTCTGGAGTCCCCTGCGGCAGAGCTGAGGGCAGGGGGTTTGGTTCAGCAAATCCTTTCCAGTTCCCATCTGTACCCCATGATACTGTGTGTACTCCTGTCTCTACCCATCTGTACCCCATGGTAATGGGTGTACTCCTGCCTGTACCCGTGGTTCTGGGTGTGCTATCTGTACCTTGTGGTTATGGGGTGTAATATCTGAACCCTATGATACTGGGGGTGCTGTCTGTACCCTGTGGTTCTGGGTGTGCTATCTGTACCTTGTGGTATGGGCTGTAATATCTGAACCCTATGATACTGGGTGTGCTGTCTGTACCTGTGGTTCTGGGTGTACTCCCGTCTATACCCGTAGTTCTGGGTGTACTCCTGTCTCTACCCGTCTGTACCCAGGCGTCTGTTGGGAGGGGACCTGTCGGTGTTGGGGGTCTCTCAGCAGGTACCCTAGATCTGAAGGACATTCTATTCTTTCTGTTCTTCTTTCTTGGTGGCTGTAGGGCTGTAGTGATGTCTACTCACTGGTTTATCTCTTTTCCATCTTAGAAGAGGTTGACAGGTTATAGTGTAATGCTGTAGACGGGCTGCTGCCTCATTAGCGTCCCCTCTGTGTTAGTGTCCACATCCCCTCTACATTAACTTTCATTCCCTCTGTGGCTAGTTGGTCCTAAGGTGCAGCCACCCTGCAGGGCAGGGTGTGTGTAGAGCAGGGTGTGCGCAGGGCATGGTGTGTGCAGGGCAGGGTGTGCGGGTATGTGGTATGTGCAGGGCAGGGAGTGTGCAGGGCAGGGTGTGTGCAGGGCA